AATGGGAGTAACCTGGAGACACAGGTGATGGTTAATCCTTCCCCTCCCTGGGCTTACTGGGACCCTGCCTCCTATGAAAAACCTGTAGCATGGTACCTTATGACTTAAGTTATTCCAACTAGTTTGCCAGGCCTCTCAGTCTAAAGTAACTTTAAGTCAGCTGCTTTACAAAAGCGCTTACAAAAAATTGCAGCTACCACACTCACACTGTAACTCCGCCCCCACAAGGGGAGGAGGGAAAGCAAACAGGTGTGCTAGTGCACAGGATGCTGGCTCCTGAACACAGCAAAAACGCCTGCCATAGCTAAGAAAATCCATAGAAAGGACCCAGCATATCCTGGGCTGCCAGCCACACGTGGTGATGGCTGCAGCCCGTAGCCACTTCCCCTAGAATAAACGCACGCAGAGTACACAGGAAGAGGGGAGGGGCGACAGGCTGCAGGATCAGGTCTAGGCAGACAGGCTCACTTGTCCCAGGTGTCTGTGGAGGGCATTGGTGCCTTACACACACCCTGCTCCTAGTCCCACCTCACACCTCGGGGCATCAGACCCAGCCCTTGTAAGTCAATTGTTAGCTCAAGGTTATAGTTCCAGAAATAACAAAATAGACATTACTGTGGTCTCTAAACTTCTCATTTAAAATTTTCTATACAGGAAATTAATGTGAGTCAACTCCCTGTATAGCCATCCTTATCTCAACTAGCAAAAACCCTTGTTCCTTCCTATTATTGCTTATACTCTCTCTTCAACAAAATTAGAGATAAGGGCAAAATAGTTCCTGCTGGGTATTGAGGGGGTTGGGGGGAGAGGGAGGAGGCGGAGTGGGTGGTAAGGGAGGGGGTGGGGGCAGGGGGGAGAAATGACCCAAGCATTGTATGTACATATGAATAAAAAAATAAAAATTAAAAAAATAAATAAATTTTTCTATACCTTGGGCCTCAACATAAATTTTTCCCTCCTATTAACACTAGTTGTCCCATATGGTACTGTTATTTGCCTGAAATGCCCTCTGAATGCCCTTCTCTAACTTTACAAATGATTTACTTCTTTGTTAAAAAGTTAGCCTTTATTAAAGAGGCTGCCTGCTGTTAGCTAAAAGACGGGATCCTAGTGTTTTGTTCTTTCTAGATGGACCTGCCCCATTCCAGTCCTCTGGCCTATTAAAACATTAAAAAAATTATTAAAAGCTTTGTACTGAGGCCTGGCCTCAGTATGCCTTGGGTGACCAAGAGAAGTGGCCTTCACAGGGTTCCTTAAATTACAATACCATACCCCAATTAGACCTTTTCTATAAAAGTAAAAAAAATAAACTGAGGTCCCCTATACAAATTTCTACCTTCTAAGCCACCCCAATACTCAGAACCTCTTAATGAGTGCTTCCCTCTTCAACAGGCAATGGTAGGAAGAGGGCAAGTCTTATGTCCCCTTCCAGTTATCAGATCTAAGGGAAATTTAAAAACATCTGAACAGCTGTACTGATGCCCAGACAAATACATTCAAGCCTTTATCTCTGTGATCCAAACCTTTCAACTGACATGAAAGGATATTATGCTTCTACTAGACCAGACTCTTATCTGGGTTCTGGCCCAGGCCACTCAGGTTGGAAATGATTATATGGCTCAAGCAGTAGAGTGCTGCTTTACAAGCATAAAGTCCTGAGTTCAAGCCCAGTATACCCCAAAGCAAAGACAAAAAAAAAAAAAAAAAAAAAAAAAAATAATATATATAAAAATATATATATATATATATATATATATATATATTTGGGGCTGAGGAAGTAGCTCAATGGGAGAATGTCTGCCCAGCATGTGCAAAGCCCTGCGTTCAATTCTCCAGCATTACTAAATAAAAAAAAAATGGTAAAGAAGATAAGTGGCATTAATGTTACTTCAGCCATTTCATAGTGGGAAAACTGTAGTTTAACCTAGACCAGATCCTTCATTCTTCAAGTGAGGAAACTGAGGCCCAGAACAGTTCAGAGACCTGCTCTCCAGAGTGTCAGGTGTCAATATAAAATAACAACTTTAGTTTACAGCAACAACCTAAAAAAAAAATCCTCTTACCTTTCTACCACATCTTAAGGTGGTTATATCAGAAAGCATATCATGATGGACCCAGAGTCACAGGTGAGAGAGGTTTTCCTCAAAGATAAATTTCTAACAGTCAGTCCCAGATATTCATAAAAAACTCAGACTGTGGCTGAAGGGAAAAAGTCATTGAACCAAGTAATACAGGTAGCCATGTCTGTATTTATAGCTATGTCTGTATGTCCGGGACCTTACTAACAGGAGAGAAAAAGATAAGAGACACCATGGCCTCATTGCTGCTCTCAGAGTGGGCCCCACCTGACTGGGGCCTGTAACCTGAACTTGCTACCATGGTGGACAGGAGGGGCACTTCTGCAGAGAATGCTTAGAGGGGACAGCCCAGGAGACAGTCCCACCCCCAACCAGGACCCTGCCCTCTCTGCAAGGGTAACCACTGGTGGTCTAAGTACCCCCGTCACCAGACGGAAGGCGAGGTGCCACCTCCTATGGATTTATGTGTCCCGGCCTCCTTTCCATGCTCCACTTATTAATATTGATATTGAGGAGCCTCAGGTCATAATGGTAGAGAAGGGAAAGGTCATTTTCCTCCTAGACAGTGGAGCCCATTTCTCTATTTTACCTTTTTCTCCTAGTCCCCGGTCCAATGACAAATGTTATAGTTTGGGCAAATCTGGCAAGCCCCTAGAGTGCTAGTTTACCTGGCCTCTGGCCTGCTCTTGGGGAGACATCATCTTCTGTCACTCCTTCCTCACAGTACCTAAAACTCCAGTGTCCCTGCTGGGACGGGATTTACTATCTCAACTAAAAGCTCACATTCTCCTCCCCACAGACAGCTATCTCTGCTGCCTCCTCCTTCAGGAACAAAGAGATTCCACAGTGTGGACTGATGAGATGAGTGTAGGGTGGGCCAGGACAGCCCTCCCTATTCAAATAAAGCTCAAAAATCCCTCACAGTTTCCACACCCAAAACAATATCTCCTCAAGCCTGAGGGACATGAGGCCTTATGCCTATCATAAATTCCTTAAAACAACAAGGGCTACTAATTAATTGCTTCAGGCCCTACAATAAATTTAAAATTCTTATAAAAGTTAATTTTAAAATACAAGTTACAAAGTAAACAACTGGAAAGGATATAGATAGGTAGTGAATGTATTTTTTGAGAAGTTAAAGGAAAAAGAAGTGTTTTTAGATGAGAAAGGATTTTGTAAAGAAGGGTTTGTCCTAAAGATTGTTTCAAACAGGAGGGATAAAGACAAACCATCAAAGGGTTTAGTATGTTATATAAATGTCTAAGTAAGTTTTAAAAGTGTATAATAAAAAAGCTTCAGTGTGTTATAAAGTTAAAGTTGAGTATAATCTAAGAGTTGCCTAAAAGATTTTTAAGGTCATATCAAACTAAAATCAAATCCTCTGTCTATAAAATAACAAGGTTATCTTAATCTTGTTCTGCTCTGAGTAACATCTACAAAAACCATTACAGAGAAAGATTTTATCAAAAAATTATTTGTGTTTTCTACTGATCTTGTCAAGCTTTAAGTACTACTAAATCAGAGTTCATTTACATATTTGCTTATGTGTCTTAAATGACCACCTTGTAACAGCGTTGTTATACTTTATCTAAATATGGTACAAACATTTACAAAGTTAAAAGTGTCAATTTATATAAAATAATGAGCTAAAACTCTCTTTTACCCAAAGGTGTTACATTTAACCTAAATCCTGACAGCCCCTGCCTCCCACAGGTCACCTACCTAGGTGTGGCCTTAAAGGGACAGACTCACTCCCTGAGTCATGAGTGCATCAACCCAATCTTCTGTTTCCCTCCCCCTCCCCCATATCAGAAGGCAGCTTAGAGCTTTCTTGGGAGTTACAGGACTTTACAGAATTTATATCCCTAGGTATGCAGTCCCTTAGCAGACCCCTTTTTATGCTCCTCCTAATATTCCTACTTGGGTCTTAGATAATGCATGACCACCCATTTCTCCTAGAAAACTTGCCTCCAACAGACTTTGCTCCTCTGGCTGACTACCTGCCTTCTCAGGGAACTTCTCAGAGAAGTTCCAGATCCTGCCCCACCCTATAACAATTTCTGTTAAACCAGGGCATCTTGTTCTCCTAAAAGGATCTTCTACCCTTTCCATTGGGACTTTAATGGACCAGCCCTCATTTGGTCATTCTCATGACACCCACTGCTGTCAAGCTCCAATTAGAAAAATGGAGAAGGGAATTGGAGGACTCTTGAATTGTCTAGGGAAGAACATTTCACAGTGGTTCTCCTGGCCAATGCCCATCCTAATGTCTATGTTTCTTGCTCTCCTATTCTTAAGCTTCCTCCCTTGTATCATACTGCATGTCTGCTATTGCTAATCAAGTTTAACCAGTTGTACCTCCAGGGATATCAACCTCTCCAAAACCATCCAGAGGAGTGCTGTGAGGGCCCCCACCAGGACACAGGAGCCTGAGGATCCTGCCCCATACAATGCCCCCTGCCAGCAGGAAGCAGCTAAAGAGACAGATGCTTTGCCCCAATTCCTGATCCTCAGCCCCTACCCTCATCATTATTAAAGAAAAAATGGGGGAATGATAGAACAATAATGTCGCCATTTTGTGAATGGGCCAAAATGGCAGCCCCGCCCTTAAACAAATTCTCTAAGACAGCCCCACCCCACCAGAGACTACTGCACATGATGCGCTAACTTCCTTAACCTCCCCCTTCTATAAAAGCCACTGCTCGCCCAGACTTGGGCCTACGCGCCATCTTTCCCCGGCCAGCCTGGCAGTTTGGGCCTGCCATTAAACTTTGCTCTATGGACGTGAGACTTTTCTCGTGAGCTTTCTTGGTCAGCAGCATTTTTCCTAACAGGAACTGCCTCTGAAAAGCAGGAAACCTGAGTGTCCCCTACCATCCTCCAAGAGTGACATACAGTGACAGCCAAGCAAATGGTCCTTCTCTGCAATATTTATTAAGGAATTTACACATACACAGAAGAAAGATAATCAGGCATTGTGGTTCCCACACATGAAATCTTTTAAACAAAGTTTTCTTGTTTGACTTTCCCAGTGGGGTGAACAATGGCTGAGAGGAAAGCTGTCCAGGATCACTGCCTCACACACCTGGAAAAGGTGGGCAGAGCACCTAGATATTCAGGCATGGAAGAGTGACTGGGAGGAGATAGGAGAAAGGGAGCTATCAATGAGATGGCAATTTTTTAAAACTGTAAGAAAAACTGGCAACAGTTTTAAATTGTTGATAAATTAACTCCTCTCTGTTGTAAACCTAAAACAAAAAAAACAAATATACCCAGAGCGGAAAGGGAGAGGTGGGTAGTGGGACACACACAGACACACGCACACGCACACACGCACACGCAGTGCACATATTAAGCTCTGCATTCCCACATGGGGCTGGCCCTCCGGCCACAGGTCGGATCCTGCTGAAGGCAGGTAGGAGGCGGCAGGGCTGCATGTGTGTATGGGGCCTTCATGAAGTCTTTGGTGCTAATGAAGGCTGACTGAAGCAGCGAGTCCTGAAGCCCCAGATCCAGAAAGTACTCAGGGTGAAGTGCAGTAATATTTTTGCTCATCCTCATAGGAAGGGGCTTGCCTTACCCCAGGGCTTGGGCCAACCTGATCCAAGACCCAAGGAGTATTTGATTGCAGGATGTTCTTCATTCCCATAAAGCATGGCAACACGATGCTTACCTTTTAACTAAAACTTTAAACTCTTACAGCTTATTAACACATATAGAAGGATCTCTACACTATACCCTCTTTGCCGAATACGTACACTTACAGACCTCACTGAGGGTCTGATAGGGCTCCACCTTGAGAGAAGGTGTGCACATTTCCCCTGCAGTTCAAGTGCCTTCTGCCAACAATTTCTAAGGTGCTGGTGCCAGGAGAAGATAGGGGCTATGGCTGGGGAGGAAGTTGGGACAGTCAGGGAACATGAACAACAGAAAGCAACAGAGAGGTCTGTGTGTTTGGGAAGTGGTTGGGTTGGACAGGATGCCAAACCCCAAGTGACTTGTTGAGCAATTTATAACCCAAACAGAAAGAAGTAGGAAAGGGGATGGAGAGAGGAGTTGGGAAAAGAAGAGAAAGGGGGAGAGCGAGGGCTGAGAAGAGTGGCAGCCATACAGGTGTTTTGCTTTTATTTCCACATCTGAGGACTCAGAGTCTGATTTGTTGCCTGTCCATTTCCACCGTTCATTGACTGTCCATAGTTCATCATCCCATTGGCTCCATAGAAATTCATCCCCGCCATCTGCTGGGTCATCTGAAAGAGAGAGAGGAGATTTGCAGACTAGGCAGTAAGCATTGAGCCAATTAGTGTTCTGCACTAATTTTCAGGGCAAGATTCCTTCTGTCTGCAGTGAGAAGAGGATTAGACAAATGGAAACTGCTATGGTACATAAATGCCCTTAACAGATCACTTCAAGGACACCAGATGCATATATGAAGGACTTTGCAGCAGGAAAATGTCACCAGAGATTGTCAGGGAGGGAAAGAAGGAATCTTGGATCTAGTCAGCAAAAAGCAGCATGAGCAGTTCTCTTCTTCCTTTCCAGCCCTCATCTAACCAGAGGGGACTATTGTTAATGGGCCACAGTGGATCCAAAGACAAGTCCAAAGACAAGCCCCCACCTCAGTGCTCCTTCCTTCTCTCCAGCAGAGAGCAGTTAGTAAGCTTGTGCGAGCTCACTTGTTTACAAAGAGAAAAAGAAATAGAAACCATACTGTTCCAAATGAACAAGAAGAAAGACCAAAGAGTCTTCAGTGAATGACAAAAGGAGAATCAGAGGGAAAAGGAGTCTGTGGAATGAGACCTGGGTGGGGCAGGGGCCTCTTTCTGAATTAGATTGAAAGACTGGCCTCTAGCCATGAATAGGAGAAATAATTTGTCAAAGAAAAATGCCTTAAATTTCCTAAGTCTAGTACATTTTCTATGTAAGTTTTTTCTTTTGGAGAAGGGCTATTTTCTTCTATCAACATTTTAAGAAAATTTCAAACTTACTGAAAAGTTGAAATAGTACAATGAAACCCACATTCCTTCCTTAAATTCACCAACTGTTAAAATTTGCCCCAAAGTATGTATGTATGTGTATGCATGCACACATACATGTAGGTATGTATGTATCTATCTAAAACCTCTAAGATAATTTTGATGGGCATCAAAAATTGCAGATACTGGGCTGGAGGCATTGCTCAAGTGGTAGAGTACCTGCCTGGCAGGTGCAAGGCCCTGAGTTCAAACCCCAGGACCACACACACACACACACACACCACACACAAAGTCACAGATATGCCATTTCATCCCTCATAAGGAGGTACCTTATGAGAATGAATTCTTTTCTAGAGCCACAATATAATAATACACTCAAGAAATTAATATTCTTTTTGTCCTAGGACTGGAGTTTGAACTCAGGGCTTTATGCTTGCAAAGCAAGCACTCTAACTGCTTGAGCCATACCTCCAGCCACTCTGGTTATTATGGAGATGGGGTCTGGGGAACTATTTGCCTGGGACAGGCCTTGAACTGCAATTCCCCCCCCCCTCCCAATCTCAGATTCATAGGTAGCTGTGAGCCTAGCTATTCAAGAGGCAGAGATCAGGAAGATCATGGTTTGAAACCATCCCCAGGCAAATAGTTTGCAAGACCCTATCTTGAAAATACTCAACACAAAAAAGGGTTGGCAGAGTAGCTCAATTGGTAGAAAGCCTGCCTAGCAAGCATGAGGCCCTGAGTTCAAACCCAGTATGACCAAAAAAAAAAAAAAAATTTGGAGGCCAGGTGTGGAGAGCTTGATGGGAGAGTGCATGCCTAGCATACACAGGTATTAGGTTCAATCCTTAGTATCTCTGAAATTTTTTTCTCGGTATTTAGTAAGCTTCAGATTTTTGTCTAGTGATTACCTATATGTTATTTTTTATAATGTCTTGCATATTTTTTTTCCTTACTAAAGCTTTTTGGTTTGCCCTTTGACTTCTACCTATTTCCTATGTAACAACTGACATATTCTACTCTGCTCCTTTTTTCCCTTCTCTTTCCGTTATTTTTAGTTGTACTATTCTGTTTGCTAGAATACAACATACATCCTTCCATTTTTTATTTTTATTTATTTATTTTTTTTTTGGTGGTGCTTGTATTTGCTAGGCACACTTCTAGCCCTATTCTTCCACTATTACTACCTTTGTTTTGGTCTTAGATTCTCAATTAAACGTTCAAGTCCTTTTGTCAAAAATGTCTACAGTCACCTCTTAGGTGGAAGAAGTTTACCTTCTATTAGATTCCTCAGGAAAAGTTTGTAACCATGATATTTTGTGAATTCTGGAATACTTAAGATCATTTTCTTATAGCCTTTATACTGAAGGATAGCTTGGCTGGCTATGAAATACTTGTCTCAGTCTCATATGTCCTTGAGTATCTTGAAGAAGGGACTCTTTTGTATGCTGCCATTAGGAAGTCTGATGTTAATCTGGGTGAAAGTGGCAGTTTTTGTGTGGAGGGAAGTAGGGAGAAGGCTGGAGTCCACAGAATTTTTCTTGTTCATTAAAGACTAAAAGCTTAACAGGATGTTTTATTTTTATTTAGTTTCTTTGGTGGCACTGGCACATTAATTCTTGAGCCACTCCACCAGCCCAACAGGATGTTTTTAGAGAGGACTGTTCTGGGTCCATTTCCCCAGAATCACAGTGGGCTCTTTATTATATCCAACTGTTTTATTTCTACAAAGTTTTTTTATAGTATAGTCTTAGATACATTAATTCCACACCATGATTTTATTTGTATTAAGTGTCTTCAAATATACATGTTAGGATTTCTTTGCCACTTTCTGCATTAACTTTCTCTGATTCGTCTTACTCCCTTGTATATTTAGTTTTCATTCTCTCGGCTCTTTCATGTCTTTCCTCAATGTCAAATATATTTTCACCTAAATCTATTCTTCTTTGACTAACTTGTACTTTCTCTTTACTTCTGAGATTATTTTGCTTTTTTCTTTTGGCAGTACTAGGGATTGAATTTATGCTTGCTAGGCAGGTACTCTACCACTTGAGCCACACCACCAATTCTCAACCTAGTCCTCAATTTCTTTTTCTTTTTTCCCTTTTCTTTTGTTTTTTTTGGCGGTACTGGGGTTTGAACTCAGGGTCTCACACTTGTTAGGCAGATGATCTACCACTTGAGTCACTCCATCAGTGCCTAGTCCTTGATTTCTTTCTTGAGTTCCATAAACTTTCACTTTACAACTTTCAGTTTGTTGTCCATTTTGGTTCTCATTTTTGAATTTCTGACTCATGCTGGGGTTTGTCTTATTTTGTTTTTAGACAGGGTCTTGCTATGTAGCTCAGGTTGCCCTTGAACTTTTGATCCTCTTGTCTCAGCTTCCAAACACTGGGATTGTAGGTGTGTACCACCATGCCCAGCTTCAAGTTTTTTTTTTTCTTATCTGTAAATGTACAATTTATTCAGGCTGGTGGACTATGTAACAATTTTCTTCTACTTCATGACTTTTTTGAGGGAGAATCTTCATTACCCGAAATGGTTTTGTTTTCTTCTCACAATTTTATAAGAATGTCATCTGACACCTTCTGCTTATTTTGTAGCACCTATTTTTCTGGATCAGCAATAATGCAGACAGGTGTGAGTCTGGGGAGGGTTGCTAGATTTCTGAATTTGAAAAGTACCCTCATCTGTTAGTGAAATGGTTATTTGGGGGCAGAGGATGGTATACCTTCTGATTTTGTGATTCTCTTCTCTACTTTTCATTTCTTTCCCTTCACCTCCAACATGCAATGCCTTTCCAAGACTACCACCTACAATCTTATGTATTTCAAGACCCTTATTACCAATTATTCCTTTCCCTATCTCTTTCCCCCACCTTCCCTTCTTCCCTCCCTCCCTCCATCTTTCCGCCCTCCCTCCCTCTCTTCTTTATTTTTACAGTACTGGGGCTTGAACTCAGGGCCTACATCTGGAGTCACTTCACCAGCCTTTTGTTGTGAGTTTTTTCAAAATAGGGTCTTGCAAAGTATTTGCCTGGGCTGGTTTCAAACTGCAATCCTCCTGATTTCTGCCTCCTGAGTAGCTAGGAGTACAGGTGTGAGTGAGTTACCAGCACCTGGCTTTCTTTTGGTTTTTTGAAACAGGGTTCACTAGACTAGGCACAATCCTCCTGCCTCAGCCTCCTGAGTCTGACGAATGCCACCAAGCCTGACCTTCAAATCCCTTAACCCCCGAGTAACTAGAATTCTAATCTACAAAGTCTATCTGTTCTCAGTATGTCAGGGTAGGGCTTTCTTCTTCTGGAGGTGACTTTATCTGTGCTCTTTCACCTCTAGTCCCCTGTTCCCTCTCCTCTTTTTTGCAGTCTCTTCTGTAGTGCTATATTTGGGTGTTGCTATACCTAATGATGCATCTTTTGAAGCTTGTGGTAGTGGCAGTCATGGGTTATGGGTGGTTTTGCTTGCATGTTTTGTTTGTCTGTACAGCTTTCTCTTTGTTTTGGGGAGAGATTCAGATTTGGGCAGTTACCCTTATTCTACAGGAACTCAGAACACCTCAGAAAGTCTGACTTTAAACAGACTTTCTAGAAAAAAAAAGGCAAACCTAAGAATATCTTCTGCATTCTCTCATTCACATGGAAAGAATTCCGGGGATCAGGGAGTGGCACAAGGTGAGATACTGAGAAAGGCTCAGAAGTTTTGTCCAAGGTGAAAGGGGGTCACTTACCTGGGTAAGGTTCCACTGAAGCTGCTGAGCTGGCTGAACCCCATACATCGTCTGGGGCATGGCTGCCATGCCTGCCATGTAGCCAGCCTGCGGGGTGGTCATCATCCCATTCGGCACACCCATCATTGGTGCCTGCATGCCACCCATATAGCCTGCAGACATGGCCATGGGGGCAACCATTCCAGAAGCTCCTGGCTGAGATACCATGCCTACTGGTGGAGCCATCATGCTGCCCATGATGCTGTTAGGAGGTGTAACCCCAGGAAAGCTAGGGTAGGCTGTAGGATATGCCATCTGAGCAGGAGCCATGAACATTGCTGTCAAGAAAACATACATAAAGGTCTGTTAAAGAGGAAAGGACGCAAAGTTACTAGCCCAAATTCTCACTGACTACTCCTTGACAGTTAAGAGTTTTTCAAGACTACTCAACACAGAAGGTTGTTTTACACAGCAAAGCAGTTAAACATATTCTCAACAAAACTTGCTATGACTTAGTAAGGCACTCAGCTAACACTGACCCCTAAAAGGGGTCAGATTCAGATCTTAAGTTAGACTTCACAGACCTGTGATGCCACAGAAGTATGGCTCAAATGGTAGAGTGCCTACTTTGCAAGTGCAAATGCCTGAGTTTGAATCGCAATCCCACCAAACAAAACAAAACAATAAACTAGTGATAAAAATATCTATCTATAGATACTTTAGGCTCCACCAGTAATGTCATGTTCAGGCTTGTTTGGCGTATGATGTCCCAGTCCCTAGAGTAACTGTCCCCTGACAGAGCATGTCCCTGGCACCATTGCCAAGACTCCATGGACTCTACCTTGGGCAGGCATTTGAGGCGTCTGTGATCCATAGAGTGAAAGGATGGAGTCCTTAGAGAGCTGTTTTTTGCCTACTTCTTCTGATTTGTTTCCTGGCTCCGGAAACAGGTTCAGGTTTTCAGGAACAGAGCCAGCACTCCCTGCAGTTGGCATGGAACCTACAACCTTAGGGCACAGAGGGCAAGTGGAGAATTGGAATGAGGGGGGAGGCTCTGTAATAATCCTCCCTCACTTGCTGCTGCTTCTAACATTTCCAGTAAAAATTCATAGCTCGTATCAAGTTAATACCTTTCTGACATTTTTACCATAAAAATATCCAAAACTACAGGATGGTTAAGCTCTGGTATAATTCTTTGTTTTTCAGCAAAACAGTATGATTTGATAGGAAAAAACCAAACAAAATAACCCACAAATGATGCAGCAGAGAGAACTGACTTTAGATCCCAGTGTAGCCATTTCTTTCCCAGGGCTAGTCCCCTAACTTTTCTGAAGTACTGCTTCCTCACCTGCAAAATATCTGTTTTATGGTGTTCTGGTAAAGATTGAAATTATTAATAAAATATACAAAATGATACACAACAAACATCTGGCACTGTTCCTGGCACACAGCAGGCATTCCACAAATGATAGCCATGAAAGTTCAAGTCTTTTTTCTCTTCAATACCCTAAATGGAATGCAGGCTGAGAAGCTGACCTAAAGTATCACCCTTTACAATATGACACAATTGTGGTGGGTACAGGTGGTTCATGCCTATAATTCTAGCTACTTGGGAAGCTGAGATTGGGAGGATGGCAGTTTGAGGTCAGTTCAGACAAAAAGTTAGCAAGACTCTACCTCAACTAATAAATGGGCACAGTGGCCTGCACCTATCATCCCAAGTTATGTGGGAGCTAAACTCAAGAGGATCGCAGTTCCAGGCCAACCAGAGCAAAAAAGTTCAAGAGACCCCATCTCAACAGAAAAGAAGTTTAGTATAGCAGCTCATGCCTATCATCCCAGCTCCATGGGGAGCATAAATAGGAGGGTTATAGTCCAGATTGGCCCAAGCAAAAAGCAAGACTGTATCTCCAAAATAACTAGTGCAAAAAAGGGCTGGAAGAGTGGCTCAAGCAATAGAGTGCCTGCCTGGGAAGCACAAAGCCCTAGTTCAAACCCCAGTATCACCAAAAATAAATAAATAAATAAAAATAAATTAGCCACTCACAGGGCTACCCTTTTGGGACAAAAGACAAAATAGTATGAAACAGTAATCTTAGACTGGGACAGAGATGACACAGTGTCAAGGGAAGAATCAAGGAAACCAAAGAGCAATTCTACCAAGGAAGCATAACTTAGCTGTATGATTAGCACCCTTTCCAGAATGTTCTTTACCTGAGAAAAGCAGAAAACTCACCTTTCTGGAAACTGAAGAAGAAGGGGATGGAACAGAGGCCAAAAGATCTAAATCCTTCTCTAAGGTATTGCTGGTCTTACTATTTGAAATGGAACAGGCCACAGGAGCATCTAGAAAGAAAGACTGAAGGTAAACTTCAGCACTGCTCAGTAAGATCACACCTTCCTTCTATTCCAGACAAAAAGCGGACAGTGGAGGTTCTTATGCTCCATTACAGGCATAGAAATTGCATTCTGGACCCATGTAGTTTGGCTAGGGCTGCTCAAAAGATGCCTCACCCCACATTCCCAATAGTTTTCTGGGGTAACCTATATCCTAGCTGACAGGCACAGAGCACAGAAACCCAGCTAGGGGTGGGTTTACATCACCACCACAGCTGGGAGGGCTGGCTGGCTGCCTTCTGACTATTTGAAGGGTAAGGTATGTAGGATTCATTTCCAGAGAGAAATGAAAGGTATAGAAATGAGAAGCCTACACATCCAATAACCCAAATCAGCAGCAGTGGACTGAAATGTACAACTAGGAATGCTATGGGGGGCATGACAGGGTTTCTTTCTATGAGCAGCAAAATCAGGATTGCAAAGAGAAAACGAACACAGGATAACAAGTCATCTCAGAAACTGGTCACGAGTGGACTATTAAGGGATGAGAACAGAAAGTTGAGTACAGGAAATAGGGCAGTGGTAAAAGACTCACAGGTGCTGTTTAGTGAAATTGCTAATATTTATTGAGTGCTTAGGATGAGTCAGGCATGGGGTCAGAGCTTTAGAGGCATTATATCACTTAGTCCTTCCAACAAAACCTTTGAAATAGAGACTCTTATCACCCTCGCTGCATAGATTAGGAAAGTAATATTCAGAGGTTAAGTAAACTACTCAAGGTCATACAGTCAGAAAGTGGCACAGTTGGGGCTCTGGCTCCAAAGCCATGCTCTTAACTACAATGTACCATCACTCTGAAAAATATTGCAGTACACACTTCCTTAGAGCAGCTGCTCAAACGTAAAACCTAACAGGAAGAACACAAGAGAACAATCTTGGTGAGGAAGACACAAACAGGGCTACCACCTCTACCAATCTTTACAGGGTTGCTGAGAATTCATCAAATTTATAGGAATATGGGATTTAAACAGTCTAAATCTTACCAAGGCCCAACAAATCCATGACAGGTGCTGTGGATTTCGGGGAGCTTTTCCGAGGTAGCTGTGGATCTTCTTTTTTCTGTGGCTAAAGTGAAAATGTTATTAAAAACATAAGCAGGTGTTTTGAGCTCTTTTTTTCCCCCTCTCTACTGTAGTAAAACCACAGGTGTTCTTGTGGTATGATTGGTGTTATTCAAAGACAGTTACCAAAAAAACAAGACTCACGAAGTGCCAGCAAGCATGAGTACATAAATTGAACCTGAAGTGAAAAATAAGCACATTGTCTGTGCTTGTCTAGCTTTCTGGAGAGGCAGATCTTTCTGAAACCTGAATAACCACTGAGCAGGGGATCCAATAGAAACTGCAATTTTTGGTCACAAGAAAAATGAAGGACAAAGGTAGGCACCTGATGGTAGAAGAGTTAGGAGCCAACAATCTCCCAGTGAGTAGAACACCTTTTACTTTGTTAAAGTAAAAATCAAAGGGAGATCACTTTAAAGATTCCTAATTCAGTTTGCCAGTATCACTAGCGACTGTATCCACAGATAATATGATTCATAATGATAAAACACTTCCTTAAGCAATAGTAGAAAGTCCTCCCCAGATTCTAAGCTCTCATAGTAGAGTATCTACTACTGCAGCCACAGTATGTTCACAGCGTAACCTGATGCTGGACTGCTCTTAACGGCAAAAGGAAAATGAGGCATACAAGGTGTAATAAGAGAAAGACTAATGTGAATATAAGTGTCTGTTCAGAAGATGTCATGCAGCCATGGCATTCTGGCATGGAACATGCCTCTTGCTGAATCAAGACAGATGCTGTTTCCAAGCTCCCATCTGGTCCAAAGAGAAGTAGCACACAGCACGTTAAACAGCAACCAGCAATGAGAAAGAAGCAGAAATGGCAGCAGGCCACCTGATCTGTATGTGGAACCCTTTGGTCCCAAGTGCAATGATACAACATAGTATCAGACCCACTCCACCCACTTCCACCCCAAGATCACAAGGTCTCCCATTTTCCTCCATATGTATAAACACTCCTGAGACCATCCACACAGCATTAAGTACTTTCCCACTTACCATTTTTACCTTCTCAAAAACAACAGGTTCCATTTTTTTTTCTGGAGCTGGTTCACTCCCTCTTTTCCACTTGTCATCTTTCTCTTTCTAAAATGATTTAACAAGGCAAGGAATGTCTTAGCATCAACACGATTAGTATTAGCATAGGCTCCATGCTAATAGTTCAGTGAGTTGAATTTCAAATGTTCAAAAGTATGACCAACAGGAGTGTGTCCTGGTGTGGGACATGAGGGCTGGTCTCATCTATATTAGCCTCAAAGCTGTACATGAGGCATACTCCACACATCTGTCTGTTTAACCCACTCATGATTCATGAAATTTGCAATAAAGGTGATCTACAGAGGCTTAAAAGTCTCCTGCCCATCTTTGCCCCAAACTTAGCTTATTTGTGCTTTGAGAGGCTCCCTCCTCATCTTGGTATATTGGTAAATAAGTTCATGTTCATCATACTCATCTTATCTCCTTTGTGATTTTATAAATTTAATAACAAGCCTTCTCAATATTCATTTTTCAAAAATCTTAATTTCAAGATTTAAAGATTAGAAAAATAAAAATTAAGGAAATAAGGCAAGAACAAATTAGGATATTCTAAAGAAAAAAAGGATTATAGTATCCTTTTGAGGGTTTTTTGCATGAGTTCCTCATAAGACCAAAAACAAAAAAACCTCAAAAAGACAGAATACTAGATCCAGGTGTACACAACTGTAATCATGAGAATTTCATAATACTTTCACAGATTTTAAAGTTATTGGTCACATTTTAGCAACGAACAAACATCTAATGGAAAATAAGTAACCTAAAGAATATAGGTGAATGGTGCATAGGGCTAGAAGTATGAGTCAAGTGGTATAATGCCTGCCTAACAAACCCTAGGACCTGAGTTCAAGTCCCAGAACTCCAGAAAGAAAAAAGAATACAGGCACATAAAAGGAAGTATAGCATACATATGAAAAAATGTCCAGTCTTTCTAGTCACCAAAAATGCAACTTAAATGTTTTTTAAGGAGGAGAAAGATACTAATAGTAATAATACCTAATGTTGGTGAGGATGAAGTAAAACTGGAACTCTTATACAATGCTGCGAAGAGAGTGTAAATTGATACAATGTCTGGAAAGTATATTGACAAAAGTATGAAGAGACAAATATTGAAATCCTTTGACCTAAATAATACTGTATCTTGTAATGAATCTTTTTTTTTTTTTTTTGTGGTACGCAAGTTTGAACTCAGGGCCTACACCTTGAGACACTCTACCAGTCTTTTTTTGTGTTGGGTTTTTTCAAGATAGGGTCTCGAGAACTGCTTGCCCCGGCTGGCTTTGAACCATGATCCTCCTGATCTCTGCCTCCTGAGTAGCTATGATTACAGGCGTGAGCCACCGGTGCCCGGCTCTTGTAATGAATCTTAAGAAAATAATCCAAAATAAGAAAACAGTTATATTTATCAAGACATTCATCCCAGAACTACTTATACTAAAAAACTTAAATGATAATCTTCAAGTGACTGAAGAGGAAACAGTAAAAGAAAAATATGATTTGCCTACTAAGAGACGATGCAACAATAAACAACAGTAACATAGTAATGTATGACGTCATGTGGAATGAAAGAGACGTTCTTCATAACTACATTTTAATTATGCCTCCACAAAGTAACTACATACAAAAAAAGAGGGATCACACCAAGATGTCAATCATCAGTAAAGATAGTAAGGGTACGCATGGTTTCTTCATCTTAGTTTTTTTTTTTTTTTTTTGTAGGACTGGAGTTTGAACTCAGGGCTTCATGCTTGCAAAGCAGCCACTCTACTGCTTAACCACACCTCGAGTCCTGGTTTCTTCATCTTAATTTTCCTATTTTCTGTAAAAATTTTTATCATTACAACACATGCAGCTTTGTCTTTTTCATAAAGTGTAACACTGTAAACTATAATTTAAAAAAACACTTTTTTTCGGGGAGAGGGGGCTGGCCTGGTTAGTGCTCTTTCTACCTGTGGTTTTCTTTGTAGGTAGATCCATAGGGACATGCCAACATGTCCAGCTTATTGATTTAGATGAAGATCTTGCTATTTCCCTACCCTCTCAAACCACAATCCTCCCAGTTTCTGCCTCCCCAATAGCTGGGATTATAGACACAAGGCACTGTGCCTGGCTCAGACACTTTATTTCTTGAAATTGGAAATGTTTTGTTGGGGAGGGACACGGGAGGGGAAGAGGGAGAGGCTGCCCAAATGATGTATACATATACAAATAAATATAAAAACAATGAAAAAAGAAAATGTTTTGTCTATTAAAAAAAAAAAAAGATAACCAGAAAAGGCTTCTGGTAGAAGTGTCAGGTATTTAGACATGAAGATAGACAGCATCAAGAGCAACAGGTGCCTGGGAGTAAAGGTGTGGCTAAAGTGGTGGAGCACAGGCCTAACCAAGCATAAGGCCCCTGAGTTCAAGCCCCAGTACTGCTAAACAAAAAAGTGTGGGTGGGGGAGATATACTTGGACTGGGGGTTTAGCTCAGTGGTAGATTGCTTACCCAGTATGTACAAGCTCTGGGTTGGATCCCCAGCACTGGGGGTAGGTGGTATTAAAAAAAAAAAAAAAAAAAGAGAGAGAGAGACAGACCTTTTTCTTTTTTTTTTGTGGCAGTACTGGGGTTTGAACTCAGGGCCTAGTGTTTGCTAGGCAGGTGCTCTTCCATTGAGACACTCTGCCAGCACCAAAGCCAATTTCTTTTTGTTTAAAATTGTTTGCACTTAACAAGTATCAATTGCTGGTATAAAAATCTTCATAAGAATATAAAAATATAAGCGTATCAAATTTTTTTAAACAGCTTTTGGGAAATAGGAGGCCTTTCTTTCCCAAGAGAAAACTTCCAGTGAGTAAAAGACTTGTTTTCTTGGGTGCACCATTTCAGCAACATAATTATGAACACCTGAGCCAATGTCCTCACACAGCAAGCCTCCCCTCCTCCTCCAATTTCTGGATTATCTCAGATACCCTTTTCTGACCTCATCTGACTTTATATTTCAAGCACAATGAAAAGAGCTTGGCAGATTACCATTTTCTACAACTAAAAGGAAATGTGTATGCTTTGGCTCTAAACCCTTTTTGATGAAGCCATCTCCCTGTACATTGTGCACCTAGTTAATTATTTCTCAGAACAGTTACAATAACTGACAAGTTTTTTTCTTCTGGATGACTGTGAAGTAACAGTCCTTCATATTAAGTTAGGAAGCAATTATTTTCCCTAACTACAGGTAATGCCTTGCATTTACTTGACTATGTTGAAATTCACCTACCATGTAATGCCCTTTTCACACAACATCCAAAAATCCATCTGGAGCTGATTCCAATTAACTTAACTGCTAATTATTTGGAAGGACTTAGAGAGCCCCATGCAAACATAGTGTTCACTAGCTATGATGTCATCCATTAAAATAAATAACTAGAATAGGAGAGGAGAGAGAGAGAGAGAAATAGATGGATGGATAAACAGATGGATGGATACATAGATGGATACCTGAGCTAGAACTAGAGTATCCTAGAGTATTCCTAAGAGAATTTGCTATAGAATCTTGTCAAAAACTACTTAAAGGTCTAAACAGTCACATTTATTGCTTCTCCCTTAGTTGTCATTAGTAGGGTATATTTTTTCTTACAGAAACCACTTAACACTGTTAAATGTTTTACAGAAAACACTTGCCCTAGTTAACATACAATATTTCAGACTTGGCAACTGGTAATCAGTCTCCCTCTGAAACTCGTAGGAACAAGAAAGAGTCCCATTGACAATCAGTCCACTGACACATTGGCCATCAGCAGGTAACAGTGGAAGTATACTTTGGTCAAACTGAAGTTAATTGATGATTTAATTACACCTGCTTCTGCTGACTTCACTTATAAAAAAACATATATGTGCACATGTTGATACATATATACATGTACAGACATATTAATCTACTAAACCCAACATATACATTTCAAGAATTTGGAGCCAGGTGGGAGGACACAAACCAGTAATCCCAGTACTCAAGAGGCTGAAGCAGGCCAGGTGCCAGCGGCTTATACCTATAATCCTAGCTATTCAGGAGGCAGAGATCAGGAAGATCGTGGTTCGAAGCTAGCCCCAGGCAAACAGCTCGCGAAACCCTATCTTGAAAAAATACCAACACAAGAAGCTGGTGGAGTAGGCCTTGAGGTGTAGGCATTGAGGTTCAAGCCCTAGTACCACAAAAAAAAATAAATAAATAAAAATAAAAAAGGAGGCTGAAGCAGGAGAAAGGAGGATCAGGAGTTCAAGACCAACCTGAACTACATAGTGGGACACTATCTCAAAAACAAAGAAAGAAAGAAAAAGAAATACTTTGATACTTTGGAAATACTAAAACCTTCTAAGTACAGATCAAGGCAAAGAATTCATTGGTGGTTTGCCCTGCTCATCCCTAAGGCAAAAGTTGATACCATGGCCTTAACCCAGTAACTGGTGTTTTTTCTACTTTTGCACATATTAAGTGATGTTTTGAAGTATGCTGATATTCCATTGGTACTGCATCTGTTAAGTGATGATTCTTCAAATTTTTCTCTGGCCTAATTAATAAGCAGATTACTTATTATGAACAAAATTTGAAAGATTTACAACCAACCCTAAAGGCATTGATGTCCAGACTTCGGTCCATGTATTTCTTCTTCTCATATTTATCTCGAATAAACCCCTCAACAGCTCTGCAGAAAACTTATTAAGGATGAATCAAATAAATCTCTCCAATTAGAATATGAAAGGTCAATTTTGTACCCCATGAAGCAATGCTCTCCTTCTTCCCTCCTGCCTGGTTTCCCACATGATTCCTGTCTCTTCATATGCAGTTTCTCTGACCAAACTCTTGAAATGCGTCCTTCAAGGTTACTGCAGGGAATCATTGCTTCCTGATTTCTCTTTAGAATAACAACAACAGCAAGTGGAATAAACCTTCTCATTGACATCAAGCGTCTGTGGCTGTTCTAGAATATAGGGAAAGCAGCCAATGATCTATTTTAAAGCCCTTCATCACCAGAAGACCTCAGACAAAAGCACCTAAATGCTCCTCAAAAATATAAACTCTTACTCCTCACCACCAGATTCTCATCAGTAGGTTTTCTGTGAGGCCCCACATCTACATTTACCAGGTTCCACCTGCACCCACCAAAAGGCAAATTCTAACAAGGTGGTTCACAAACTTTTTAAAGAAGCCCCACCTTTATGGGGTTTGGTTTTGTATACAAGTGCTATCCCCTATTAAGGTGATGGAGGAAGAACATTACTAATAAGCTTGCCAAGAACGGGTATTTCTTTTATACAAGATATAAAAAGGCAGTAGAAATGAATGGCAGCTTTGCTGACTCCCAGAGTTCAGGTTCAACAGAGCACAGTAGACTATTCTTTTTATCAAACAATAGTTTCAAAGACCCAAAAACTAATGGAGATGTCACTTTGTAGAAGAATTCATAGTGAAATCATGGCAGTCTTAATTCCTGATGTCTTTCTACTACATGACAATTTCAACACCGGCAAGTATACATGTGCTTTTTCTATCTTGGTAGCAGAACAGAGAAAAACCCAGGCCTTTTGACTAATCCATATAGAAACGGGCCAGTCAGATCACAGGCTTTGGGTCTTATCTGACTCTCCCCAAACTCAGCCTTCTAAGTTGCTCCAGAAAAGATACGGGTCTATCTGAGGTCGTCGAAAGGTCTCAGGAAGGTAGGCTTCATAAAGTCGGTTTGCCTTTCCATTCCCCATCTCTTGCATGCACTGCAATCAAAGATAGTGTAGAAACACGGAGTGTCAGATCAGGGAAGAAAAACTTCTCATCCAATTCTCCCTTGTACAATTGAAGAACCAATCTAGAGAATGATAGAACCGAGATTTGCACATTCTAGTTTTCAACCATGATTAGTCTAGGAATTCCCCCACTGCTGTCTTTCTCTTCTCCATGGGCTCTTTATATGGGAAAATTGGTCAGCCAGGATGCATGTAAGCCAGACACCAGTGGCTCACACCAGTATCTTAACTACTCAGGAGGCAGAGATCAGGAGGATCTGGGTTCAAAGCCAGCCCAGGCAAATAGTTTTCGAGACCCTATCTCAAAAAAACCCTTCACAAAAAAGGGTTGGTGGAGTGTCTCAAGGTGTAGGCCCTGGGTTCCAGCCCCAGTACCACACACACACACAAAATGCATCTACTTCAGTAATAATTTGAAACACGTAGCTACCAATCAAATGTCTATTTGGCAGGCAATAATGGATGTTACAATTCTAAGTTTATACTACTAACTAACCTTTCTCAGCTCTCCTACCAATATATGTGCTTCCTATTAGGCATTTGAAATTAACCCAGGCTGGCCTCAAACTTGCAATCCTCCGCCTTCTGCCTCTTGATTGGTGGACTCCAAGAACTTTTTAGATCTTCAAATTCTCAGATATTTCCTTCATCAGATAGTAAAGTGTAACTGAAAACTGCAATTCACTGTTTTAGACTTTAATGATTTATAAACATAATCTAATTTCTGAAGCCACTTTTTGGATAAAGAACCTTCTTATTTCTATCATCAACTTTAGCAACTGGTTTTCTTTGGAGCCTCTCTTCTCCCTACCCCCCACAAAAGGAAAAAAACTTTTAATTAAAGACCTTTAATGTAGGAAGGGAATGAAGAACACTGAGGCTGCATCAAGGTGCAGATCATAGGCCAGCTGGACTCTTAATTTAAATGTCTCACTCCCAGCCCACCAAGCTAACAGCCAGCAAGATTCATATATGCATTTTAACAGTAAAATATGAAGCCTATGATTCTGAAAGGTGTTTTATTTTGCTCTTTAGCAGTGCTGGGGATCAACTCAGGACCTCATGCATATAAAGTAAGCACTCTTATCACTGAGCTACATCCCCAGCCCAGAAGATGGCTGTTCTAATTGTTTTTTTTTTTAAGTGACTACCTCTATCTAAAACTACAAAGTGATGATGGAGTGGCTCAATTGGTAGAGTGCCTGCCTAGCAAGCATGAGGCCCTGAGTTCAAACCCCAGTACCACAAAATAAATAAACAAAACTACAAATGTTAGATCTGTAAATGCCAAGAGTTTTAGAAAATAATCCAAAGCTAGACCACAGACTATTTGTGTTTTGAAAAAAGTAAAATATAGGTAGAATGACTTGTATCTTAAATATAAAGATTAAAAATTCCTCTGTTAATGCACAAGAATTTGACATAAATGTTTAACAACTAAATTTTCCTTTATCTTCCCTTCCTGCCTATTTTGACTGCACTTCATCTGGAACTACTTTACATGGATATATGGGAGCAGATGACTCTTGGCTGTGTAAGTACCTGAATCTGTTCTTGAGTCCACTGGTCAAGGTTTACAGATTTTACCCTGGATATGTGCACTCCCAGATTCCTGTGGATTCCAGCACATCGAATGCAGATAAACACGCCAATGTTCCAGGAGGCCCATCGTGGCCCTGTGAAGATCAGGAACAAGACAATCAAGTATGAATTATAACAATCAAGGCCCCAGCTGCAATACTTAATAGTATCAAGTAGTATCAATAGTATCAATCTGCTAGAATAAAAGTGAAAGAATTTTACCACAATCACCTTTTTATTGCCTTTGTTCATGCTTCTATAGCATAGTGTTTTTTAGAATATTCACATAGTTGTGCAAGGATCACCACTATCTAATTCTAGAGCATTTGTATTACCCAAAAGAAACTCCAAGCCACCAGGCAGGTGGCTAATATCTGTAATCTTAGTTACTTGGGAGGATCATAGTTCCAGGCCGCCTGGGCATACAGTTTGGGAGAGCCCATTTCCAAAAATAACCAGAGCAAAATGGGCTGGAGGCATGGTTCAAGTGGTAGATTTCCTGCTTTGCAAGTGCATAAGCCTTGAGTTCAAACCCCCATGGGAAGAAAGAGAAAGAAAAGGAGGGAGGGAAGAAAGGAAGGAAGGCAGGGAGGGAGGGAGGGGGAGGGAGGGAGGAAGGAAGGAAGGCAGGGAGGGAGGGAGGGAGGGAGGGAGGAAGGAAGGAAGGAAGGGAGGAAGGAAGGAAGGAAGGGAGGAAGGAAGGAGGAGGGAGGAGGAGGGAGGGAGGAAGGAATCCATTAGTAGGAACTCCTCATTACTCCCAGCCCCTGTCAACCATGGGTCTACTTTTTGTCTCAAGAGATTTCTGGGCATTTAATATAAATATAATTTATTGAACTGAGTGGAGGTACATTGTGGCATTTACAAAGGTTCTTACAATGTCATGGAGCAGTTTTTTACAGTGTCTGATGATGAGTACAGAAATGCAGATGCTATAATACTGTTACTTATATAAAGAAAAATCCCAGGAGAGCAGTTTAAAACATGTCACATTCTACTTAGCCTAGCACCTCACATGAGCAGTCCTCCCCCACGAGACTTTGCAAAGTTAGTGGGCCTGGATTCAGTTTTCTCACTGGGGAAAAAAGATATAGACATGGCAGGCCAACCTAAGGCTGAACCTGAAATTGAAAACTTTGTTTATGCTCTCCTCCCCTCCAGGCCTATAAAATATGCATCCACATTAACTTAATAGGATCTTCTCCCCTAAGGCTGATGTCCCTACTTTATCCAACTACAGAATTATTTAGACTCAAAATTGCCAAATAATGCAATTGTTTGGAAATCTCAGATGTGAATTTTAATAAAGTGTTACAGTATCTCCCACCCTCTGCCAACTTTGCTCATGCTAATAGTCACTCTGGAAAATTATCGATTTCTTCTTCATAATTTTATATGGAAAAAAGTGACCTACTTTTACATGACACTTGCCAAAGACTAACTGAAATATTTCCTTCTCCATCATTCCAGGGATAATTACCACATAAAATAAGCATAATATCAAAAATCAAGAGGTTGTAATAAAGAGGTGAAAAGACAATGATATTCTATAGAGATAAAAAGGAACTGTGTTTGGAAAAACTTCAGTTCTATAGGACACAGACAATTATTTCATTTGTTTGTGGATTTTTAGCAGAATCATTAATGAAGGAATGCTAGAATCCTGTGGCAAAAATTATTCTTAGAAATCTGAATCCACAGTTATTGTAAGAATGTAATTTTTTGACAAAGACAATGCTCATTTAGCATGGCAAAATACAGAAATACAGAAGGGTCAAATCCTGCTAATCACCACCAGGTGGTGATCTCTGCTTGAAATTTTATCCCAATACTTTCTCATTGCTATTATGTTGGTAGGTGCAGATTTATCTGCTAAAAAGATCTTAAATTCCTTCAGATCCCTAGATGAATCTGTATATCTTCCATAAAACAACACACAAAGAATCATATACTTGTTCCAGGTGGTCAGGTGTTATACAAATGCAAAATGAAAAACCTGAACAAATGTGAACAAGATTTCTTAGGCTGCTCTTTATTTTTGGTAACAGTTTCAGAACTCCAATAGGATTTTACTTATGTAAGATTTAAAATGGGAACAAAAGTCAGTATTTCATTTCTTTAGCACTTTCTCTTTTTCTCTAACATCAAGAACTCATGATAAGATAGTTAAAATGTAGCTGGGGATGTAGCTCAGTGGTTGAATATTTGCCTAGAATGCATGAGGCTAAGTTCTAATCCAAGCACCAAAAATCAAAACCAAAAACCAGTAAGTTAGTTAACAATCTTATCTTTGTTTGCTAACAAAGTCAGAGCCAAAAATAATCATTAAAAGTTAGCTGTGGAGCTGGAGGTGCCTAGCAAGTGCAAAAATCCTGAGTTCAGGATCCTCTTACCACCACCAAGAGTAAGACTTGATGCTTTGAGCCTAGGGAGGGAGAGAGGGGTGACACACCTATATAATCCTAGCTAGTCAGAAGGCAGAAATCAGGATGATTGAGGTTCAAAGCCAGGCAAATAGTTCATAAGACCCTATCTCAAGCACACCTAACACAAAAACAGGGCTAGCGGAGTGGCTCACGTGGTAGAGCACCTGCCTAGCAAGCGTGAGGCCCCGAGTTCAAACCCCATACCACAACAACAACAAAAAAGTACAATCTTTGCAGATAAAAGACTTAGGTTTGAATGCAGCTCCATCAATCAGAAAGATACTTATACTTCTCAAGTCTGTTTCCTCATCTATGAAATGTGTTCAATAACATCCACCTCATATTAGTTAGAATGCAGAAGGATGGTAATAAATGAGAGCTACACATAAGAACATGTTATAGAATGAGGTTTTCAGAACTCATTTCCCATTCACTTTCACTGAAATGGTCATTTAACCCATTCACATGTATACTATTCAACACTACAGAATGATTCTTTTTAGATAGACATATGAGTTCAACTCCTAAAATGTCAAACCAAAATCAATTGCCGAAGTATTAGAAAGAAGAAATTTACTCTTAGTTTTTCCTTCTTCTTTTTTTTTTTTTTGGTGGGACTGGAGTTTAAACTCAGATCTTCGCAATTGCAAAGCAAGCACTCCACTGCTTGAGCCCCATTTACTTTGGTTATTTTGGAGTTGGGCTCTCTCTCTTTTGGTGGGACTAGGGTTTGAACTCAGGGCCTCATGCTTACTAAGCAGGCACACTAGCACTTGAGCTACTCTGCCAACCCCTTTTTTGTGTTCTGTATTTCTTTCTTTTTCTTTTTTTTTTGAACTCAGGGCCTACACCTTGAACCACCTCTGCCAGCCCTTTTTTTGTGATGGGTTTTTTTTTAGATAGTCTCACAAACTATTTGCCTGGGTTGGCTTGAAACCACATTCCTTCTGACCTCTGCATCCTGAGTAGCTAGGATTATAGGCATGAGCCACCAGCACCTGGCTCTGTGTTGGGTATTTCTGAGATAAGGTCTCGAGAACTACTTACCTGGGTTGGCCTCAAACCTCGAACCTCCTGAGTAGCTAGGATTATAGGTGTGAGCCACAGGAGCTTAGCTTTTCTTTATTTTTAAAATACATTTTATTGTGTATCTCTAAGATATACACATGATATTATAAGATAAACGTATACTAAAATGGAATAGTCTTCTAAAAAACATGAAATTTTAAGCAACTTCCTTTATTTCCCTCAAAGTATTCTTTAAAATTACACTATCTAAACCTGCACCTGTTATCCTCCTCTGACACACACACACATATACACACACACACTACACACTATCCTGGTGCTTACCCATGCCCCCCACCACCACCTACTACACACACAAAGGAAGATGCCCAGTTGTCAGCCAGATGCTGAGTGGTGGGTGCTTGGACTCCACAACATCTGGCTCACTGCTGAGAAGGGCTGCTTACTTATATGTAATATATGCAAAGATTAACCAATTGTTTATTACACATTGATTATGGCAACCAAAGAAAAAATAAAAAACATATGTTTTGAAATTGAAAATGGAAAGACTACTCAGAAGGCAGAGACTGAAAGGCTCACAATTCGAGGCCAGCCTGGGCAAAAAGTTCACGAGAACTCTTGTCCACCAATAAAAAACTGGGCATAGTGGCATGCTTAAATAGGAAGAATAGGAGGATTAAGGTTCAGGAGGGCCTGGATAAAAATGCAAGATCCTAACTCAAAAATAACCAAAGCAAAAAGGGCTGGTGGCATGGCTCAGGTGGTTGAACACTTACATAGCAAGTGCAAGGCTCTAAGTTCAAACCCCAGTATCACCAAAACACAAAAAGAAAAGAGATACTAAAAGGCATACTCTGAACAATTTTGAAAGCAAAGATAAACAAGTGATATAAACTGATAGTGATTAACACAACTCAAGAACCAGATCACAGCTTACATGAACATATCCAACAGGAGCCAAAGAGCTGAGCCAGGAAGCATCATACAGTATCAAAATCAACATACAGTCATTCTATAATAAGGAATCCATGAAAATGAGAAAAGCATATGGATTGGGTCAATCAGTCAAGAAATCAACTGTAGAAAGTACCAGTCCAGTATACGGAAATCTGGGCTTCCATGGAGTAGCTGCATGCATTTTCTTTTTTTGTTTTTTTTTTGGGTAGTACTGGAGTTTGAACTCAAGACCTCATGCTTGCCTAGGCAGGTGTTTTACCACGTGAGCCACTCCGCCAGACCAGTTTCATGCATTTTTGACAAGTCTCTCTAGGACTAAAGTCTCCACTGGTAAAACAGAAAGCATGTAAGTAATAACCCAATTCATATTCAACTTCTGAACACTCACACACGTCAAGTGACTACTGCTGCCCTGCTGTAAATTTCCCTTGCCACTAAAACTTCCCCCATCACTAGACCTGCCAGGGTTAAGCAAGGTTCTAGAACAGAATGAGAGTAACAGATAGCTTCTAGCTACTGTGATAGTAATTATAGCTGGCTGGTCTCTGATCTATGGAGTTTTAAACAAATGTTTGGGGGAAAACCATAAATAAATTGATGGCTACCCATATTTTGACTTGGACCTGTTGAAAAGTCTTCAATAGGCAGGGTGAGGGAGCACAGAGAAAAATCTCTTCATC